GGGGTGTCTGGACTTTACCACCGGGTTTCCCGGCAGACAGCTGGGGCCAAGGGGCCCTTCTAGGGGCTTCCAGCTGCAGTGGATCGCCGGGCTCTGCGGAGCTGAGCGAGGGAGGGCCGGGAGCCGAGCCCCCAGGGGCAGCGCCGTCGCCCCCCCGCCCCCGGCGGGCCCCTTTGTCCCAGCAGTTGGCCGGGAACTCGTCCCTCCTCCCGCTGCCGCGGAGCCTCAGCCTCGGGCGGCTCCTCCCAGCGCGGCTCTGCCCGGCTCGGAGCGGATCGGAGGACCGACAGCAGGTGAGGCGGGGCCCCGCAGCCCCGGGCCTGGCTCTTCCCCTCCAGCCCCGCCAGCGCCCCGCGCCCTGACTCTCTCCCAGGCTGCAGCCCCGAGGGGAGCGGCTGCTGCGGGACGGCCGGGCGGACGCGGACTCCAGGGCACCGGGAGGGGCTGCACAGACAACAGTGTCCCGGGCAGCAGGGAAGAGCCCCCCACCTGCAGCAGGGCGGGCGGGGCAGGGAGCAGGCGGTCCCCAGGGGCTCGGACGTCGCTGGAGCCCAACGCACGTTCAGGGCTGCACCTCTGTGCCGACCCCTGGGCCCCCCAGGGGAGGTCTGGCTGGAATCCGGGCTGGACTTCCTTCTGTGCGTCTGCAGCATTGTCGGACACCTGTCTTTCGTACCTCAGGTGGGTCAGAGAGTGAGACCGCCCCGAGAATTGGGAGAATACAAACGGGAGGCGTTATGGGAACTGTGATTAACATCTGATTTAAACCGTGACACTTAACCAGGACGCCCCTTAGAATCGCCTATGCAGGATTTCTTTTGGAGATAGGAAGGTTGATTCTGAAGGGTACATGGAGAAGTAATGTAGCAAAACTGGCCATAACGATGCCGAAGGAAAAAGGTACCACGAGAGGGTCACAAAACAGCCCAATTAGATATTAAACTCTGTACTCATCATCCAAATTGTGGTAAGGACGCACGACTCATCAAACATGTCAATAGGCAAAACAGGAAGACTAGAGTAGATCTGAATTCCTGTGGGAACTTCGTTTTTACCCAGGAGAGCATTTTCAATCAGTGAGAGAGAGAGAGGATGGATTCCACAAATGGTGCCTACCCTGCAGGGTTAGTTCAGATGCGAACCCTGCAGAAGTTAGCATCTGCACGGCACCATCATAACGACAATTTGGATCCATGTCTTCCAGCTTACAAGATAAATTCTAGATGTATCGACATTTTAAAGTGAAAACAGAAAGCATAAAACCACTTAGAAGAAAACATGGAATTATTTTATAATCTTGAAATGGGGAAGTCCTATTAAAGTATGGTATAAAACCTAGAAAGCATTAAAATAATGAAAACTTTGATTATATGAAAATACATAGTCAATAAATGAATTAAAGATTGTAAAAAAATATTTGGAATTCATGACACAGATGGTCATTTTTCAAATACACAAAGAACTTCTATAGATCAAAACAAAATAAAGTAAAACAGGAAGGACAGAGGATATGAATGGACAAAAGAAGAAATAAAAATGGCTCTTAACATATGAAAAGATGACCAACATCACCCCTAATAAGAGAACTAGAGATTAAAACTGTACTGAAATAGTTACAGAGAGAAGATCAGTGTTTACCTGTGGCCAGTGGTTGCGGGGACTTACCGGGCAGGGGCATTAGGGAACTTTCTGCAACCCAGAAATGTTCTATATCTTGATTGTAGCTGTGGTTGCACAAATGTGTAAATTTGACAAAACTCGCTCAGATATGCATTTAAAATGAGGCGTTTTATTGCACAGAATTGATTAAAATCTACAATGGAGTTTAATTTTCCCCACATAAAATTGTAATAGATAAAAGAGTTTTCTAACACACTCCATTGGCAGTAGGAAGGGCAGCTCCACTCTTGGGCCATGCTCCTGCCTGCGACTTGTCCCACTTCCAGAGAGGATAACAGGCAACAACTACTAGAATTGCAAATTCGTGTACCTGCTAGCTCTGCAGTGGCTGTAATAGAAAAGGATTGCAAATTGTAGTGGGTTAGAAATCTTGATTCTCCTTTGATCTTAGAATAGGATTTTTAGGTAATGCATGAATGAGCCAAAAGGCTCTTGAGTAAGGGGACGAAAGTCCACAGATAAGGTTGGCAAAAGCCATCTAATCAATTCTAATCACTGTTTAGGGATGGGATTGTGTACTTTGTTTTAGGTTGCTGGTTTGATTCCAGCTTGAATGACGATTGACTATTAAACCTACCGATTGTTCTTCAGATATGTTAAGGAAACTGCTTGAATGCTGTTTAAATATGCTAAGGAAATTGCTGTAGGAAGTATGTGGAAAAGAAAATGTTTACTGAGGACAAGCTGTTTATTGGCGAATTAATCTAGCTTTTTATAAATTACATTCTGGAATGTCACATTGTTAATTTACTGCCGTTACAAGTTTTACACTGCCTGTTTTTATGTCCTTCTTTGATGATTGAATCAACTGATTTTTCTTGTGAAACTTCCTTGTCTTGTCAATAAAAAGAAAGGCTGATTTTGAATTGGGGCTGCTGCTACCCTGATGGGCGGCAGTCCCTCCAGGCCTCATTGATGGTACTTTGAGTGAGTTCTTTCTTTCTCTTTTTTCCATCTCAGTTGCACAGAGGAAAGTGTAACAGCAAATAACCTAGATGTCTATCAATAGGGGACCACTTAAATAAATTATGATGTATTTATATACTGGAATACTATGCAGTTATACAAATGAATGAAGAAGCTTTTTATGGACTGATGTTAGGATTATTTAGGATTATTCTAAAAGCATATGGTTATGTGAACACAGCATTGTGCAGAACAGTATGCTGCCATTTGTGGGAAAAGTAAGGGAGAAAGGATATTTTTATGTGCTTTTGCATAAAAAAATATCATTGCAGGACATATAAGAAACTGACAGTATCAGTTTTCATCTGGAAGGCTAAGTGGCTGGAACAAAGTTGGGAGAGGGTTTTAAAAGTATACTCTTTTGTATCTTATGGATGTTTAACTCGTGAAAGTATATACACAAGGGTACTTCAAAAAGTTCATGTAAAAACAGAATTGAAAGATAGTACAAATCTTTCTGTGAACTTTTTGAAGTACCCTTGTATATATATGAAGTCACTAAAATAACTCAGATTCCTTTCTTTGCCCTCCCTAGACCCTAGACAAACCATATCAGTTCATTTTGGGAAGCGGCCCAAGAACGTGTGTGGTGAAAAGCTCTGCAAGTGATTTGAATTTGCATCCCAAACTAAGGTCACTGTGACATTGATATCTGCACTGGGAAGACCCTTTGGATCTGGACAAGGAGACCGTTTACCTTCCCATCACCCATGCCATGTACTCTTTTTTTTTTTATCTCACCTAATTCTCAGACTTCACTTTTGTACATCTTCTCCCGGGCAGGCAAGATGACCCAAAACATGGTGACTGTGAATGGAGTCGATGTGGCCTCTACCCTGTCCCAGCCCACCCACATCAACATCCACATCCACCAGGAATCAGCTCTGACAGAACTGCTGAAAGCTGGGGGTTCCCTGAAGCAGTTTCTTTTTCGCCCTCGGGATGCTGGCCCTTCCAAGGCCCGGAGGAGCCATGATCAGCTGGCTCTTGGGGTAAGAGTGGGCTGGTGGGTGGGTTAGTGAGGATGGAAACTCTCCCCCTTCAGTGGGATGTAAAAAGGACAGTGGGTTGAATCCCCATGAGGAAGGGCATGAGAACTCACTGTTTGTATCCTGTCTAGTTTGGGAAAAGGTTTTAGAGGTTTCCCTGCAGAGATTTGGATAGAAAGAAATGTAAAGAAAGGAATCTTCTTTGATGCAGAGGGGTCAGTCCCAGCTAGAGGCGAGGCGATGGGTAGAAGAATCTGGAGGCTCTTAATTGAGTTTTGTTAAGCCCACGAGGACCAGAGACCTACAGGGCAAGGCAGCGTGTGAGGCACTGCAGGCAAACTACAGAGAGAATCCCTAGGCTATAACCTGAAAGTGCTCAGCATCCATGGGAAGGGATCAGGCAACTGCACGAATAACTAGAATTAAAGGTAGATCAGGTGAAGGGAGAAACAAGATGCCCAGCTGACGTCTTCACGAAGCAGGAGTTGGCATCTGAGCCAGGCTCTGAATGGAGGAGTGGGTTTAGGCCAGGAGTAGAGAGAGCGTAGGACAAGTTCTGTAATAGTAAAGAGAATAGGACTCATGCATGGGACTCGGGGGTGATTAAGGGCCATGTTGCTGAGAGCCTTGGATGACGAAGTAAGGATCTGTCCTTACTTCAATAGAGGGAAGGCTGTGGGTGGATTCAAGCAGCAGCCTGGGCATTAAGCTAGCTGCCTTGGAGCCAGGTGTCCAGATAACAAATATCAAGGGTCTGCACTTGTGTGGTCATAGCAGAAATGGGGAGGGAGCAAGGGAGTCTAGATCTTTGTGGATGGGGTCTCTGTGACTTGGGAGCAAATGGGTTTGGGGTATAGGGGAAGAGAGGAGTCCAAGAACATGTGGAGGTTTGGAGTACGGATCACCAGAATGTCGGAGCCATGGAGGTCAGGAGGGGCAGACACTGGGAGTGGGGCGGGGGGTGGGGGGTGAAATTCAAATGTGGCACATCTGAGATGCTGTCAGGACGTGGCAGGTGGTGATGTCCGGGCAGCTGTGATAGTTGGGTTCTCTAGGAAGCAGAGGCTGAGTCGGAGTTAGATGTGTAAGTGGCTTATTGAGGTGTAACCCCTATGAAATGAAAAGAGAGGGGCACAGGATTGGGCAGGGGAGCCATCAGACTGCAACACAGCACTGACAAGACCTGCTGCCTTGCTCAGCCATTGCCTGGAGGGCCATTCCCAAAGAGTGCGCCCTAGCTGGAAAGACGGGGGGGGG